CCCAGTGCATGAATAAACAAAACAAACAAACAAATAAAAAAAAAAAATAAAACTTCTAAATTTAAAAGTTTATTAAAAAGAGGACCTCCCTGGTGGCACAGGGGTTAAATTCTTAGCACTATCAAGATATGGCCAGCCACTGTGGCTTGAGTTCCATCCCGGTGGCCAGGGAGCTACCCATATATGGTGCAGCAGACCTCTCCTATCTCGCCCCCCTGCTCCCCTCAGCAGTGAATTTCAGTAAATCTGTCTGTTCTGCTCCCCACTCTGTCTCTGGTGAATCCTCTCACCCCTGCCCTGTACCTCTGGCCTATACCCCAGTTCTTGTAAGTATAAATAAATAAAATAAATCTTTTTTTTTTTTAAAAGATCTCCTTCTGAAAAAAAAAGTTTATTAAAAAGAGAGGGGATCCTTCCCCTATTTCCTGTGTGGGAGATCAGATGACAACTCATAGCCCTAATCAACTTGGGGAACCATAAATTGTATTTTTGTTGCATGAGAAAATAAACTTCCCTGCCTGGGCTTACGTGTCTTGTGTCTGCAGCCAAATGCATCCCAACTGACACTCCTCATATCACTTTGGCAGTCAATTCATCTTCTTTCCAAACTCCTTAGACTGCTACCATCCCTTCCTTTCTAATTTCCTGGCTTTATCTCCTGTCTGCTTCTCCCCTGACATCCAGAAGCCAGTGCCTCTTGCCATCCCCAGAACAGGGCAGGTTCCTCACACTTCGCACTCAATTCCCTCTGACTGGGATGCCCAGTCTCCATCAGCAAGTAACTACCCCTGCTTCAGGTTTCAGTTCCCGGTATGTGGTAGGTAGGCAGGACTCACATATGTCCCTGATTTCTGCCACCATGGTATATGGCCTGCATGAGCCTGGGTACAGTGAGCAGAATGAATTGTACTCTTATGAATAGTTTATATTATACGACTTTAAGAACAGATTTCTGGGCAGGCCTGCTCTCGTCATATGAAATCTTTGAAAGCAGAGTTTTCTCCAGCTGGTAGAAGTCTCACAGAGATTTAACATGTGGGGTTTGATGTGCAAGAAATTCTGTTGTTGGCTTTGAGCATGGTGGGGGTCCTGTGGCAAGGAATGTGGGTAACCTCTAGAAGCCAACAGCAGAGACTGGCTGACTGTCAGCAAGGAAACAGGGACCTTAACCCTCAGGTCCTCACTAGGTCCTCACTAGGTCCTGAGTTCTGCCAACAAGAATGAGGTTGGCAGCAGAGCTTCTCCAGGGCTTCCAGATGAGAACTCAGCTGGAACTTAGATTTCAGCCTTGTGACTCAGATCAGAGAACCCAGCCAGGTGCCCATGCTGTGCAAACTAACCTACAGAATCATAAACTAAGAAATAGGTGTTTTAAGCCACTAAGGCGTAGGCAGATTGTTATGCAGCAACAGAAAACTGATACAATGTGCCTCCTCCTCCAAAGTCTTCCCTCATTCTCTGGTACACCTGTGACTCATCTCTGCTGCTGCAGCACCTCACATACATTCACTGCAGGGCGAATCCCTTAGCTCTATCATGATCCACTTACCTGTGTGCCCTCCTCACTAAGTCTGAGTCCCTGGGAGGTGGGGAGGCCTACCACTCTATCATTGCAATCCCATTGCAGGGAAAGAAGGCAAAAAATTTTTGTTGAATGAAGGTTTTATTTAAAAAAAAATCCCAAGATATGATTACTAATTTGTAATCACGTATATTAAAACAAGAATACTTAAGATCTGATGCCTGAGCAAGAGGAAGTCAGCAATGCAGAGTGAAGGAAAAAATATACTCATGCGGTGTTTCTAAGGAACCACAAATGAATAAATCCCTCAAGTGTGGCAGGTGAGGGAAAGAAAAAGTGAGCAGAGGTGTGAGAAATCCATCTCGGGATGACTTAATCAACAACCATTTATCAATTGAATGCCTGTGATGTGGTCAGGCCAGGAACTGTGGAAAACGATATATGTTTAAGATTTAAAATCTGCCCTTGATCTTCCTTGCTGTATCACATCAGACTTAGAATGTTAGTAAAAAAAAAGAAGTCGTAAAACTTCCACTTTATGGGTTTTTTTAAAAAGATTTATTTATTTATGCATACAAGAGCTGGGGTACAGGACAGAGGTGTGCGGGTGGTGAGAGGATTCACCAGAGACAGAGTGGGGAGCAGAACAGGTGGACTGACTGAAATACACTGCTGAGGGGAGCAGCAGGGAGACAGAAGTCTGCCGTGCCATGTGGGTAGCTCCCTGGCCCCCGGGCAATCCACCTCCCTGGCAGGGGATGCAACTGTGCTGCAGAGGCAGGAGATAGCTTGATAGCGCTGCTTTGACCCCTGCGCCACCAGGAAGGCCCTATTTTTTTGTTTTTTGAGGGTTGGCCTTCCTGTGTGTTGGCTACCTAGTTTGCCCCCGCACAGATGAAACCATGAGGGTGATACTGGAATTGTCAGACCTAGTCTCCCAGCCAGGAACAGATCCCAGGCTGCAGGGGCAGCGCTGAGTCCCGGCCACTAGACCACCATGGGTTGGTGTCTCAGAAGCCGCAGGCAGGAACTTCGTAGACTCTCAGGCAAGCAAACGAGAAAAGGCAGGTTTGTGTAGAGAAAGAAAAAGTTTATTGAGGAGAAAAGGAACAGAAATAAAGTAGGACTCCCAGGCCATGAAACAAGGCCAGGGAGGGGCAAGGAAGCCAAAGTGGAGTCCGGTCTCAGGGAATATAGACCTTTTTTCCCTCATTATCCTAAAGCTTCACCAATCTCTTTGTGATTGGTTAGTTCTCGCCTGTCTCACTTAAACTGCTACTGAGCAGGGGATCATCACATTCCTTATCTAACAGGTTTGTCTTTCCCCATTTGGTGCAGCTTCCCCCTTGTTTGATAGATTTATCTTTATGGCCCAGTCTCCCAGATGAGCACCCCTGCATTTTAGGGAAGAGAAAGTTAAACATGAGCTATTGAAGAAAAACAGGCTGGCGCCCACCCGTCTCAGTGCTGACCCCTTCTCATCTCCCCCTTGCATAAATATCCCTGCACTCTGACAAAGGGCAGCACGGTGGGCCACCAGATATGAGTCTGCTGCCCTAATTAAACCACTCTCCCCAAACTCCACCTCCCTTTATCACCTGAGGGAAACCAAGGCCAGCGTTAACAGTGTTGTCCTTGGTCCTGGGATGTTTGTTTTTCCCAGTGGAATTAGTTACATTCCTCTAGTTGTCCTAATCTCTGAAGCCTTCCTAAACTCTTCAGAGGTCCCCTCCTGCAATGTCCCTAAAACTGCCCAATTACCCTAACTTGCCCTATGTCTCAAGGGCATTTGTAAGCTCGTTCTGCCAGTTATTCAGGTGGGTTTAAAACGTTCACCACTACAAGTTGCTGGTTCTTTTTATTTTTCCCCCAACCCTTACAAATGACCTATTGATGAATCCCTCTCTCCTGGCCTTACTGGGGCTGTGCTACTGGGGCTGTAATAAAAATTCCAGGCAGGGAACCCAGGTATTTTGCTACTGTGAGCTGCCACCACAGGAGCGGCGCCGTCCCTACCGGCAGCCCCGTCGCCCAACCCCGCGGGGCAGCAGCGGCTCAGCCCAGGCGCGGGGGCGAAAAGTGGCCCGAACAGGCGGTGTGTGCGTGGGGTGCACACGTGCCCTCCAATGGGGGCCGCGATGGCGTGGGTAATTGTAAGGGGGGGTTGAGGCAAGAAAACTGTGGAGGAACAGGCTGAGCACGCGGCCGCGCGGGTTGAAGACCTGGCAGGCAGGTGGGCTCCTCCGGGGCCGCCCGGCCTTTCCACCCGGCCGGGCGGGCGGCGGCGGGGACGTCGGCGGCGGGGCGGGGCGGGGGGCGTCAGGCGTCGGGGGGCGCGGGGGGCGGCGGGCCCCTCAGCGGCGAGATTCGCGCGGCCGCCAGCGCTGAGGAGGCGTCGCCCCTTCCCGGCCGCGAGGTCCGGCTGCGGCCGCGGGCGGCGCCGGCGTCCGGGCGGGCGACCCGCCGAGGAGCCCGAGGCGCCTCCTAAACCCGGAAGCGAGACCCCCGCCCCGCCCCGCCCCGCGGACGCGCAGGGCGTTCGGGCCGCCCGCCCGGCGCCGCGCCCGCGGCCCTCCTCGCGAGCGGCCCTAAAGGCCGGGCACCGGCGGCCGGAGCGGGCGGGGCCGCGGGGGGCGGCGGGTGACTGCGCAGGCGCGACCCCGCGAGCGCTCCCGGCGGCGCGCGCCCGAGGCGGCTCCGTGCAGGCGCGCGCCCGGGCGGGCGGCCCATGACGTGCGCGGCGCGGCGCCCGACGTCACGACCCGACTGTGGTGGCGGCCGGCGGCCTCCGCGGCGGCGCTGAGCGGGCGGTGCGGCCGCAGGGAGCTGCGCTGGGGTCCCGGCCCGCGCGGCGACGACGAGGACGACCCCGGGAGGCCCGGCCGCCCGGCTGCGGAGTCGTCGCCCCCCGCTCGGCCTCGAGGCGCTCGGCCGCGGCTTCCTCCTTTCCGGCCCCGTGCCCCGGCCTCCGGGAGGGCGGCGAGACGCGCCGAGGGACGCCGGGGCCCTCAGGCCGGCCGGCCTCCATGTGACGGGGCCGGGCCGGCACCCGAGTCCTCGCGCGCCCCGGGGCCCGCGCTTCCCCATCGGGCGAGGGGCAGGCCGCGCGGGGCGGAGGGCCGGGCTCGGCGGCGGCGGCGGCGGCCGCTCCTCGGGCTGCAGCGCCCGCGTCCCAGCTGCGCGCCGGTACGTGCTGGTGTGGCTGCGCGTGTGCGCGCGTGTGCTGTGGGGGGGGTGGTGAGGGGGGCGGGGGTCTGGGGCCGGGACTTGCGTGCGCGCGTGTGCGCGCGTGTGCCTGCGCGTGTGCGCGCGCGCGCGCAGCGGGCTGTGGGGCGGGAGGGGCGCGGGATGCGGGCCGCGGGCCGGCGGGCGGCGGGAGTGCGGCTCTCGGGGCCGGGGCTGCTGCGTGGGCGCCTCGGGCTCCTCGCGGGGCACCTGGCGGGGGTCCCTGCGCCGGGACTCGCGGTGACCGCGCCGCCTTTCCGGCCAGGGAGGCGGCTCCCGCTCCCCTCCACAGATGAGGACGCTGAGGCTCAGCGAGATTAGAGTGAGGAGCGCCCATGGAGCCCGTCAAGGTCAAATACGGTGTCTTTTCCGTAGGGCTGTATTCCTCGTCTTGCACAGATAATACGAGGAAAATGAGAATAGCTGTACGGCTTTTTCTGAGAGTAAATTCGAAACGCATAGGTAGATACATAGTTCACGTTCCCCAAAAGTAGGCTGCTCGATGTGTTTTTCTGCAGCCTAACTAGATCATTTTGTTGGCATTTAAAATGATTTATTTTTAAAAGGTGTCTTTGGACACCTTTACCATTTTTGCAGTAAAATTGAGCAGAAAAAAATAGCCTCCCATGACTAAAATTATATTTATCAAGTTTATTTTGGCAATACTGCATTTCTTGAAAGTACGATTTTACTTACGTAGTTCATTCTTGTTGCATGCAGGGAACTCACAGTTGGGTTATTTACTTGAGTTTCCTTATTGCAAAATCTGTGGTTGGTGTATGTGGCAATGGCTACACAGTGCACTGTCTTAAGCAATATTTTTGAGTTTGGCAAAATTTAATATGTAGAATTCTTTAGAAAGTTATATTTTAATGGTGTTTTTCATTAATGTGCAGCGACTAATCAGTGTTTATAAACTAGCTGAAAGATTGTCATTTTGGCATTCATGTGAACTGTTTCATTCGTCATGGTTAATGAAAAAATAAAAATTTTTCATTAATAAAATTTTTCATTTCAAAACTTTCTCCTTACGGAAAAATTTTGATAAATTCCTTTGAGTAATTGAAGCTTTCATGAATAGTTGTAAATGTTTAAGAAATCTATAAGATGCCTGATTTTTGCAATCTATAATTTTCTCTAGTATTGGGTTTAAGAAAATTTGTAGTTGATTGTCTTTGTAATGTTTGCAGCAAAAGTTCAGATAGTGGTGAATGGTTCACAGGTTGATTGTTGTTTGGTTAAACTACACGCATTTTCTTCTTAAATATGATACTGTTATAGAATGGTTATCTAGTCACACACTCTGTTTCTCTCTTGAGAGAACTAGCTGTTAAAGGCCCATCTTAAATAAAATGATTGGGCTACATTATAGACACATCTTTTAAGTAGTATTGTAAGTGGCACTTTCATTCCTAGTTTATTGCTGCCAAAGGCGTAAATGATATTTAATAAATGCTGTGCTAAAATATAGTTGTTTGCTTCCCAGCATTTCCCACAGTTTTGCTTTTAGGTCCCCCTCCCCCCCCATTGGAACTCTCTTGGCCCTCCCCCATCGTTTTTTTATTATGAAACAGTTTCAAACATACCGAAAATTGATAATGAACTTAATATAATGTTTTTTTTTAAAGATTATTTATGCATACAAGAGCTGGGGTACAGGCCAGAGGTGTGTGTGTGTGGGGGGGAGTGAGAGGATTCACCAGAGTCAGAGTGGGGCACAGAACAGGCGGATCCACTGAAATCCACTGCTGAGGGAGCAGCGGATGAGTTAGGAGGGGTCTGCTGGGCCATGTGGGTTGCTCCCTGTCAGGGGATTCGATTGTGTGCTGCACAGGCTGCAGATAACTTCACAGTGCTGTGCTTAATCCCTTGGGCCACCAGGGAGGCCCTATGTGTATATATATATATATATTTTTTTAAGATTTATTAGGTACAGACCAGAGGTGAGGGAGGGTGAGAGGATTCACCAGAGACAGAGCGGGGAACAGAACAGGCAGACTGACGAAACACGCTGCTGAGGGGATCAGTGGGCGAGACAGGAGAGGTCTGCTGAGCCGTGTGGGATCCTCGCTGGCCGGCATCGAACCCACATTGCAGAGGCTGCGAACAGTCTCACAGTGCTGCGCTCAACCGCCTGGGCCACCAGGGGAGGCCCTGTATATTGTTTTTGAAGTATTTGAAACTAAGCTGTAGACATTATGATAACTTTACTTATAAATATGTCAGCATTCCTCTTCAGAGATAAGAGCATTTTGTTACATAGCTAAAGCATTATTGTTAATTTTCTTGATTTGCCTGATTTTCCTCCTCATTGGCATCCTTTATGGTGTTCCTCTATTTCTTCTGTATTATTAGCTAACTGTAAGCCAAGTTTAAAGGGTAGATTAGTTTCTACTAAATGATACTGTGTCCTTCATACTGCTTTCCATCTGGAGACATACACTGTCAAGTCCTATTACTTCTGATGCTGAGTTTGATTGCTTGATTATGGGGTTTAAGGTAAAGTATGTTTTTCCCACTACAATTAGCCACTCATCAGTGGCACGATAATTAGAATTGTAGGGTTAACCTATTCTCCAGTAATGTTTTACCTAATATTTTAGTATCTATTGCTGGTGCTTGTCAGGTTTACTTTTGAATTTCAGTGTTCGCAATCTTGTTGGTCTGTAGGTAGAAACAAAGTCACAGGAATTGTAAAATATCCTTTGCAGTTAAATCAATTAGATTCTGATTTAGCGCATCTTTAAGATTTTAAATTATGAATTCAAGGTATCTCCTGTTATGAACTGTAAAAAACCTGGCTTGAGAAAATTGGGGAAAACTCAGTGCCTCTCTTTTCCGGTAGTCCCACTTATGAGATATATTTCTTTAAAGTTTTTCTTACCTGGCATATGTTACACAGGAATATTCAGAAATACAACGAATGATGGACTCACTAAAAAAAAGGAGAAAATTGCCTATTATCTGGTGTAAAGTAAAATATCTAAATTCTGGTCCTGATTCTATCACTATGTGAAGTTCAAGAATTATTTATTTTTTTTTGAACTTCACTTGTGCTCTCATTTCATTATGATTGTTAGTACACATTTATGAATTTCTGATTGAGTTTTCTTACATTTTGATGTGAACCTCATTTAAATTAAGTTAAATATAAATCAAATATGTAATATAAAATTGAATTTATTTTCCATCTAATTAACTGACATTTAGTAGGTGATTTAAAGAAGGGTTGATAATAGGGTTTGCTTAAGTAACACATTCTTATTAGAAATAAAATTAAATTCATGAAACAGTTTACATGAAGCTTTTTACACATCTCTTGTAAATCAGGATGAACTATATATATGGAAATAAAAATCCTTTTTCCTTATTCTCAAGAATTGTATAACATATATATTTGTATGTAAATACTCAGACATACATTTACAAGAAACTTATCTGTATACTTTTGTCTTTTGTTTTGGATAGCCCTTGGATTTATTGGGAGAGTGGTTTTTCATGGTGGTTAAACACACGTATCTAACATCTTTTGTATTGTTGCCTTTATTGTTACTTAACTCTTAGGTTGATTAATTTTTTGTTATACTTTGTCTTCCCAACTGAGAGGAGGACAGGGATTGAATCTTGTAAGAGTCCCTTCTGCAGTTCACTCACTCCCTTTCTTGTAAATGCTCAAGAGTTACTTGAGAATCGTAGTACCATAACTTAAACACTCTGGTTTATAAACTTTGGAAGTTTTTTCTAAAGAAAATCCTCTCCCCCAACCCCCATTTAATGTGGACTTTAATAATACTAACAAATAAAACAATAGTTTAAGATATTATTAACATTCTTCTGCTAATTCCCAGCTTGGGTCTCTTCACTGTCACTGTCTCAGGCAGAATGCTGTCAGCCCTCTGCACCTACCTTTACCATCTTACCTACCACATTGTGCTATTGTCAGCTGTGTCCTCCACTAGGAAGTAAGCTCTTTAAGGGCAGAGGCATTATTTTTGTTGATTTTGGTGTGCTAACACCTAGCACAATGACTGGAGCCAAATGTTTATGAAATAAATAAAGAATTGGCAGGTAGCAGTGACCTTAATGATAATTTTCAAAAGTTCTCTTCTGAATTTACTGTATTTGTTTTTTTCTCTCATATAGCATTTTGTTTTACTTAACAATCCTAATTTCTACATTCTAGGCATTGATTCTTTTTTTCATTTTATTAGAACTGGGGTGTAGGCCAGAGGGGCATGGAATGAGAGGTTTCACCAGAGACAGTGGGGAGCAGAATAGGCAGATCTACCGACATACACTGCTGAGGGGAGCAGGGGGCCAGCCAGGAGAGGTCTACCCCACCACATGTTAGCTCCCTGGCTGGGGACCCAACTCAGGCCATAGGGGTGACAGGGAGGCCCTCCAGGCATTGATTTAATGACCACTTCAAAATACTCATTTAGGGCAGGTTCGATTCCCAGCCGGCCAGGGAGTAACCCACATGGAGGGACAGACCTCTCCTGCCTGGCCCACTGCTCCCCTCAGCAGTGTCTTTGCTCCCTAAGCCTGTCCCCCCCACCCCCCTGCTGTCTCTGGTGAATTCTCTCACCCACCCGCGCACCTCTGACCTGTACCCCAGTTCTTGTATAAATAAATAAATCTTAAAAAAAAAAAAATCCCTGTAACAACTCAATGAATTAGTTAACTGTTATTACTGGATGATTTAGTTACTGTTATGATATCCTTGTTACAGATGAGAACTGAAGCACAGAGACACTAAGTAACTTGCCCATGGTCTCAATTTTTGTTTGTGGTGAAGTTGGGAATTGAATGCAGGCAATTTGGCTCCAGAATTTGTGCAGGTAACAAGTGTACCATGCTGTTTTCAAGGACAACAAGAAAATTGGGTTTACTTTACTAAACTATCATTATTATCCTTGGAGTACCTGCTATGTACGCCCTAGGGAGAGGCTTCCAGAGTTTTTTAAGAGACAATAGTTGACCTAGATTAGCAAATCCTACACTTCAACTGATTGTGATATAATGTTTATTGGAAAAAATTATAGAAAAGATAAAGAAGAAAAGAAGTAAGTTGAAAGTATGAACTTGAGAGACCTAAATGTGAGTCCTGGCTCTACTGGTAAACCTTACTTTCCTTATCAATAACTGAGATATTGGTACCTAACTTAGGTTTGTTATGAGTGTATGTTTAGTAGAGTGCCTAGCATATAATTAAAGTTCAGAAAATATTATCACTTATTGTAAAAAGCTCACATAGGCCACACAGGTCACATCTATTTTAATGTACATAAAACTCCTCTTATTTAATGGGATTGGAATGAATAGTGTTTAATTTAAAAAAAAATGGATA